CCCCCCCCCCCCCCCCCTCCCGCGCTTGGCCTTTCTGGGATAGGTCATGCGTGGGAAAGTGGCGGCAAGACGAGCGGGATGCGTGGGACAGGAAGATGCACGACGTCGGTCGAGTTAAGGCCATGCTTGCCGCGGCAGGAAAGCCGTTGCAGGTGAAGGACGGTGCCTGGAGTTTATTTTTAGGTCTACGCGTGCACGGGGTTTTTGTGCGCGACTAGGTCATCCATGTGGAAACAAATGTCTTTCGGCGTGTTTGTGACGGGGATGATATGTCAATGGTGCCTCTATTCCGGCAATAGTATTCCAGCACGGGCTTGGCGTTCACGATAAAGCGTGTACCCGGTGCAGCAGTACAATACCAATACTTAGTGCGGCTCGCAGCGTTGTATCGAACCATGGTGTGATTGCCCAGCATTACCCCTGTGGCATTTAGTACCCAAGAGTTGCCACCAGTATGGAGTGCGACGTCGTCTCTCCGGGTATGTAGGTGCCCCCTAGGTCTGTGCTGCATCTCACGGAACCTCCCACCCGCACCCCCACCCCCTCCCTCCGCCCTATTCTCTGCTCGCTCCCACACCCATCACAGCTCCCACCAGCCGTTCTCCAGACTTTACTCTCTCAGCTGGTACACTTCCACGCTTTCCCGTGCGATGCTGGTCGATTTCGCGCCGCCATGGACCTGGTCCTTGCCGCCGCCCCCGCGAGCGATAGCGCAGCCACCCCGGGGGGCGCAGGTCTCTTTGCGGCTCAGCCGGCGTCTTCCAGCGGCAGCGACAGCGACCGGCTCTTGGGGGACAACACGTGGTCGCTGCTGGTTACCCGGCTAGGCGCGGTGTGCCTGCAGTACATGAGTCATGTATCGGCAACGGCGGCGGCGGGGGCGGGGCGGTCACGGAAACACGGCGCAGAACGCCGGGATAGCGGCGGCGGCCGCGGCGGCGGCGGCGGCGGCTGCAAAGCAGACGCCATGGACGATGCTGAGGGCGCTGAGGCTGCTGTAGTGGCCGGGGAGGGGTCGGCGGAGGTGGGCGATGCCGCGGAGGTGGCTATGCGGGGGTTCGCGCTGCTGGCTTCCCCGGCGGCGTGGCGGCATCGGTGGCCGCTGTCCGAGCCGGCCGTTGTCCAACGTCGTTGCTGCGTGTTTCTCGCCTCGCTCGCGCTCGGCAGGGTGGTGTTGGGGACGCGGAGCAAGCCGGGGGCGGAGGCGGGGCCTGGAGAAGCATTAAAGAAATCGTCACCAACACGAAGAGGAATAGGAGGTGTACGGTTGTTGCTACGGACGGAGAGGGAAAGGCTCGGCGGCGAGGGGAGTCAAGCGCCGACGCTGTTCGGAGTCCTCCGCGTCGCGTGGGACGCCGCAGCAGCAGAGGCCGGCGGGGGGGAGGGCAGAGCGACGCAAGCGGTGCGGCTGCTGTGCGCGTCCTCCCTCCAGGTTCTCGGGATCGGCGTCACGGAGGACGGGGAGAGCACAGCGCGCGGCGAGACCCGTCCGATGTCGCCATCAGCGGTGGCTGAAGGAGGAGGAGGAGGAGGAGGAGGAGGAGGAGCGGCTGCCGGGCCAGGCGGCGCGCACGAAACGGCGGTGCCAGACAGGCGACGACTGCTGGAGGCGTTTGCGGCCGCCGTTCTGCCGGCGCCGAGGCTGCTGGAGCACCCTCTGAGGGCGCCCCTGATGGACCCGATGCTAGGGGGCGATGGGGCGGCGTGGTGGGAGTTGGTGTCCGTGGCAGGGGAGGCCGTCGGGGCGGGGGGGACGGGGGGAGGCGGCGGCGCTGCTGCCAGGAGAAGAGATGTCGCATGGGCGGTCGCGAATATATTGGAGGTGTGAGAGATTCCGTGGGGTGCCTGTTGTGGTGTGTTGGTGATCTCGGGGTCGTTGTTGTTGGAGAGCGATGATTTGCTTTTGTCTACAAGAGTTATAACTTGATGATGGCCGAGTTTTTGGGGCCGCCTTCTCGAGGATTTTATTATTTACCTATGAAATAGAGAGGGGGGTTTTCGTATCCCTATCCCTAATCCTAACCCCCAACCTCACGCCGTAGCCCTACCGAAGCCAAGCTTGACATCCTCGCGAAGGATACTGAGGTCAGTTGACGCAAGCATGGTTTTGTCCGTGGTCGTCGTTGTTGTGGTTCGTTTGTGTGTTTCGGTACCAGCATCCGTACGGAGTTGATGGTTTTCTTTCAAGCGATATACCCGTAAAATATAGGCATGGATAGCGATTGGATCCTTGTAGACACACTGCGTTGACGTTACATTCACGGTCAACGAGGCGAAAGAGACAGCTGCATCCTTCCCGCTACAGCAGTACGCAATATTTTGGCAAACACCGCAGGGGTTAAGGTGGCGAGAACGAACAAGAACCTAAAGAAGCGCCTATGCTGTTGTGAGCATGTCGATAGCCAAGATTTGCCAGTGCTCATCGAGGCAGGTCATGGACCATGTGCAGTTTCTCGACAAGACTACTGTGGGTCTTCCCCAACAGAGTGTCACAGGGTAGTCTATCCCGATGGTGAACGGCTCGTGTGTCTTCGCTCTTGATGGCGAACTGGAGTACACACACGCCATGCTACTGCTGCTGCTGCTGCTGCTGCTGTTGCTTGCTCCACTCCTAGGCGCTTGCGGCCTCAACAGCAGTGCGCCAGCTCCGACAAGTGTAGCTCCCACTGTTTGCACAGTATTCCTTGTCTGGCCACCACCTTGAGTTCAACCTGTACTGCAGCAGGCATCGAGTCTTTTCTCGGCCAAATCTTCCCCTCGCTAGCGATCAGCGCACGGACTCTTTTGCACACCCTCAAAGGTGTGCTGCAGCAGTCCGTCCGCGTAGGAATTTGTTTCTTCCCCCCCCCACGGATCCCCCCCC